GTGACTGGCTGGGCCCCCCACCAATCCCCTGATCTAACTCCTGAAGCCGGTCATATTCCAGGAAGAATCGCCTCAAATCACAATGGAGCTCATTACGGATGCTGGCCGGATTGCTCGGGCCAGCCCCACCACCACTGTCCACCTCAGCCCCTGGGGCCAGAAAGCCCCTCCCTTCTGTCGCAGAGGTATAGACCGATGCCTGGGAAGCTCCCTCCTGCTGCCTCAGCACCGACAGCAAGCTCACGGAGGAGGCACTGGTCCTAGGGGGAGGCATGGCTTCCAGCTCTGACCGAGAGCTCATGTTCAGCACTGTCCTGGACCAGTCAGACCCGCCTAAGCCAGAAGCCATCTCTCTCGCAGACTGTTGGTACCGGGACTGGTGGCCTGCCAAGGGCCCGCTGAGGGACCGCCGTGTGGGGCCCAGGCTAAGGTTGCGCAGGGTGTTGCCAGCAGTGCTGCTCTGAACTGTGCTGAAAGCAGAGGGCCTGTTAAGTATCCCCTGCTCCTCCTGCGCTACGGATGCCTGCTCTGGGGGTTGATAAGGCTCTGTCTGCACAGAGGAGAAGGAAGTGCCAGTGGCCCCAGAAGACGTGGAGGGCGCGTTCTCCTGGTGCGGGAAGAGAGAAGAAGGAAGTCTTGCACTAGAGCATCGGCTGCAAAGGCACAACATCCCCAGGTGCTGGCAGCACTCTGCTGTGGGATAGCTGACACGCTCCCGGAGCCTGTTATAGACAGATGCCCTTGTGTTCTCACTGGCTGCAGGCGGAGGTGGTGGTGGTGGAGGCGGTGGAGGGGATGGGGTAGCAGAGTCTTGAACACTGTTTTGCTCTCCCACCTGTATGCCAGAGGAGCGGGAGGACAACATATGCAGGAAGTTGTGGAGGAGGGGTGTGCGCCTCACAGGCTGAGATGGAAGGATAGCACGCTGGCGATAATGCGGCATCTCTGTGCTGTCCACGGAGATTTCCACTTCCTCATCACTCTGCAGAAGCAAGCAAGCAAAGTTCAGTCACCTCACAGCTAAATTCAATACCTCCAAATAAACAACAGTGTCAGCTACCACCCCACGCAGATGAAAGGATGCGTTAAGTCCCTTCCTAGAGGCCTTGACTTGCAGGAAACCAGCTGAGACTATTTCAAAGTTCATTTTACGGATCCAGACAACCTCTTCCTACAGCCCAGTGAGCTCTGACAATACACTGTTCATATGAACAGAAGTGTCAGCATCTGAGAGTCAGCAGCTGTGGGGGGCACTGCTAATAGCTTGCGTAGCTTCAAGTCCAGCAGAATGTCACAACAGGACTGAAAGAGCAGGGCCACTGGGACATCTGTCCCACCACTAACAAGACAGTGAGGGCAAAATAAACTTTGTGAGGGCACACTTTAGAGAGCTCTTTAATAGCCCTGCACATAACACAAGAACATTCATGTGACCAATTAAAGTGAGACAGACTCAGCTTAGAAGGACTTCAGGTATTCCGAAAAGCACAAGGCTGCTTAGGAACAGACTAGGGTTAATGTATATAGAGCATCTTGTAATTAGCCAGTCAATACAAGTACTGAGATTCCCCTTACCTGCTGGTTAGAAGGGTTAACAATTGCTGTGAGCAAGTAGTGTCCCAAGGGATCAAACCGTACCAGCCTGAAACAAAAGCAGAGACAGAGTATCAATCACCAGTTCACATTTCACATTGACACAGGAAGTTGGACGCAGCAGGGAAGAAAACCCCGTGACAAGTATTTGCAGTGAGAAGATTACTACATTGCCATCATCATCTTCTGAAGGATGTAAAAAAGTTTATGCATTAAGAAGAAAACATACTTATCTAGCTGAAGGCTGCAGCTGTTTTATAGTCCACAGCAACACTCTACAGAAGTTAAAAGCTGGAAGCAGGTACTGCTGTATCAACTGAAATAGCGAAGAAATTTTAAGGCATATGTATGTATATATTGCAAACTGGAATTTGGTACAAAGGGAGAGATTAACTTGCCTTGAATGTTGCATTATTGTCTTATTTTAAATTGCTCAAAAGAAGGCATCAAGTTTCCAACAATGCAGTTTCCTCTATAACTGCACCAATAGCTCAGTACTCTCTCCCAGCAAATTCTGGGTCCTCTCATCCTTATGGCTCACAAGTTTCATTACTAAGCTTACAAATGAACATGAAATAGATTCTGAGCGTTTATTTGGCACACATCCGATTACAAATATGAACAATCAAGCTGATCTATTATTTCAAATTGCTTTTTTCCCTGCCCACAGAACCATTTTTCTGCCAGCTGAGTCAAGGAGCTGCAAGTAACGCTCCTCTCCGCTGCTCAGTGAGGAGGGTGCGGCACCCCAGAGGAACACCCATTTCCCAGATCTGACCATTTTTCACATAAAAGTGTTCTCTTTCCCTGGAAACAGGAACTCACCTGACCCTCTCCATTTCACTAGCCGTCTTCACCACTGCAAAAGGCTCCCGACGACTCCAGTCCCAGAAATGTATCTCATTGGCAGTTGCAATCAGCAAGAGCTGAGCCGTAGGATGAAAAGCAAGCGATGCAATGGCATTGTTGCTATCTGTGAACCAGCTCTCACTTCCACCCTGAGTGAGGAGTGAAGAATCACAAGCAGTTTATCGCAAAGTTTGAGATCATTAGGTTTCCATGTACATGTGCCGAGAGCATGGAAGTGACATGCCTTTTTGGCAACAACAGCCGCTCTCATACGAGGTCATGTGTCACATCTAGACCATAACACTACTTGCTACAATGACCACAGATGTATTTTTGTAGGTAAGCGTGTCTCAAGCAGCCTGTAACAATGCTGCATTTCAAAGCAACCAGGTAAGTATAACTGTTTTGTCTCTGTGCCAGTTAGACTAGGTAGAACTGGCAGAGCAGCAGCTTCTCTAATGAGGAGTTCAGATATGCTCAGTGGAATGAAAAATGGCACATCTTTCACGTAGGCTAAACAGGCATCTTGCACAAAGTTCTACAGCATTATCTGTATCACTCCAGTCAAATAAACAGACACGGCAAAGGAGCATGACCCACCTGGTGGGACTGAACGAAGAATCTGTCACCTCCTCTTTAGACAGAAGAGGATGGCTATGATCTGTTCTAAGTTTTTCGAGACAAGTCCCAGCAAAGCTTGCAAACAGCTCTCTTACCAGGCAACATTTGGGAAACAAACTCCGGCAAAAAAAGTCACCACCCACTAAATACCAAAGGCACATAAGTTTCAGGAAAAGACTTACGTGTAAATCCCAAATTCTAACCTCCCCATCTAGGCATCCTGAAGCAATGAGGCCTGGGATGGTGGGATGAAAGGTGACACACCAGGGAGTGCGGCGATGTCCAACCAAGGAATGAACACACTTGCCCGTTTTCACCTCTGTGATGTAGATGTTGTGGTTCACATGTGTGGAAGCCATTAGGGTCCTGGGAATGCAAAAGGTATGACAAACATTAGCATGAGAAGAGTACAGCAAAACCAGACCATGGTTAGCTTCATCTCAACAGGGTCTGTTCACACCTAACCCAGCAGCTCTCCCACATAGGGCTCAAAGGGTCAGAGGCTACTGTTTCACCAACGGCCACAAAGCTTCCTGTAACCAGATTTCAGGGTCTATGTAAACATGAGCTCATCCAATCTGCAAGAACAAACTTGATCTTGGAAGTCAGAGTGGACGTGCAGCTCAGAAGGAACTCCTGATTGCCAGTCTGGGGCAAATAAACATTCCCAATTCTCCACATCATCTCAACCACTGTCAAATGAAGTGACACTAAGAGAGATCCCACCTTCATTTCTGCTTCCAATCCACACAACATTGTGCTCTGTTCTTTAGTCCTCGATCTCCCAGTGGGTGTGCCACATCACTCGGCATGTTGTGATAAAACACCCTTTACTCCCTCAAGTTTCTTACGAAATCCCACGGTGGCCGCACAGATCCTTTTTCCTTAGAACTATGCATCACTTGGGTACCTCAGAAATTAAACACCAACTATGCTCGAAGCTGTGAGATTAGGAAGGTGCACACATTCCATCCATGCACGTCAGGAACCAGAAGTTTCACTTGGCTATTCAGGACTGGACAACTCAACAGGCACAAGCCTCCATCACGTTTGTACGTGTAAAGAGACAGCTGAAACAGGGAATGAACTAGGAGTTAATTACCTGTCTGGACTAAACGCCAGCAAGAAGGTGGAGCGTGGACTGTCTGGCAACTCAACTTTCTGAAAAAGCCAACAAAGCAGGAAGTGTTGCAAGAGTCATATGATCATACTTTAACTGTAAGCCACACAGACAACAAGGGGAACTCGCTGGAGGAACATATCTAGCATCACATCACTGCAGGAACTGAACAGAGCCAGAGAGGATATATCAAGTGTAACACATCAAATGTACAGTCATGAGACAATTTATTTCAAACCCCTGCCTCCCTTCCCCCACTCCAAGATCAAGCTATGCACCTCTATCCCACAACCTTACCTTGCCCTCCCATTTCATCCATCGAGTTTTATCCTCCACCAACTCCTGCAGGAGCCGCTGAGCACCCAAGGCTTGGGTACCCCGTTCCCTACCCCACAGGATGCGGACAGCATTCTTCTCCGGTACAACCTTCATGGCCGTCAGCAGCCAATGTTACACCAGCTAGTGGGAGGAGACACCACCAGGTTCCAGATGACAGCCACCACCAAGCTACAAACAGGCTATCCACATTTCAATTGTTTATCTTCATGGAAACCTGTACAGAGAAGAGAATGATAAGGAAGGCAGCTTTTATCTTGATCACCTAGATGAAGTAAGAGCTTTAAATCCCAAAAGACTAGATTTAAGAGAAAAACCTAGCCTCTCCTGCAACCTTTGCTACCTTCTTCATTTATCAAGACTCAGTTTCAACATGTCAGTAGCCAAAGCTTACTTTGAACGGTTTTTGAAAGCATCCAGCCCTCTTCTTGTACACATGCCCTAGGCATACCACACCTAAAGAGAATAAAAAATTAGCCTTGAAAGTCTTTCCCTTCCTTCTGTCTCCTGCTGTATATAATAAAGAAAAAAAGATTTATGAAGAGAGTCTTTACACCTTGAAGATTTAGGTCCTATCTGGGAAGGGTGACTGATAGCTAGAGGAATAGTGTTAAAAAATTGACAATACGACAAGAGCAGTCTCCAGGGAATTATTCAGATTTCAGTAATTATTACCACTGCAAAGGTCAAAAAATTGATAGACCTCAAGCCCAAATTACTTCCAACTCCATGATAACATCTTACAATGTAAGAAAATAACCACATATTGGAGCAAAACCTTACACTGTAGTGGCATCTTGGCCAACTCCACCCAGACGATTCATTTTGCCTGTCTGCACATCATCTTTCCATCTACATTGCTCTTAGAACAACAGTTCACTCAAGTAATGCACAATGGCAAAGATTAATGCTTTTAGTACACTTTGAGCTGCCAAAGAAAGCATTAATACCCATTTTCTAGAAAAAAAAAGGTTAATTCTTTGAAAGAACTACATATAGTGATCCTAACAGCAACCAAGTTACACAGCTTTTGAATGGTCTCATATATTGGAGTTTGTCACCAACAAACAACAAGTTTCTTAGAATACATAAACCAAGAAAACGCTGCTGCAATGCTACTGCCTTTTGATCCCAGCAAAGCACGCATACTACTGTCGTCTCTTTAGAATGTAAAGTTCTGAAGATAAATCCTCCTCAGTTCATGTTACACTGAACAAAACCATCAATAGTCAGTAGAGAAGGAAGTGGCAACTTAAAAAAGCAAAAAATACAGATACAGGGAAAGAAGGTTCAGGTACACAAGATGAATTGTTAAATGACAGAACTCTGAAGAGTCATTAGCAAACTTTTCTTTTCCCCCACTCCCCCTAAAAAAACCTCCTGAGCAGATGATTTAAGACAGCTGCTGCTTACAGGGAGGAGCTGTCTGAAGAGATAAGCCAGGAAAATGAGTTCTAATAAAGCAGATCAGTTTACGTTTGTGAAAGTACAATAAAGGGTACTGAAGTGCTGAACAAGTAAAGGCATCCATCTTCCTAGAAAAAGAAATTCTCCACAAAGAAATTCAAGCTAGCTGGAAATTCCCTGATGCTTAATGTGAACGGCATGGGGATCATCTATTTTGGAGAAGCTGAACTCCACAGTGTAAAATTAGCCTTCTTTCGGGAATCTGTGGAAGTCAGCCAAACATTAGGTAGGAATTATTCTACAAAATAAAAGCCTTACTGGAAAGCAACACAAAAACTGAAGATGTCATGCTGCAAGCGGATTCTTAAAAACAACTGTACAGATTAGAAAAGCCCAGACCCAAAAAACCCAGAACAAGGATAACCGGAGTAGATACAGACAAAAGCACAGTATAATATAGGAATCACTAAACCAAAAATCTTTTTTCACTAAATGCTAATAAATCCTCATCTGGATTCTGCAAACAGCACCAGCCACCCCTGTTCAGGGGTGACTGGATTCAGATGGTAAGCAGCGTGGAGGGGAAGGACAGCTCAGAATGATACAGGCAATAAAAAGCCTATTTTACATGAGGAAACTGTAAGTCTAGTTTCGCCTAGTAAAATTAAGAAAACAGTAGCTGAATATTCTGCATGGGTGCATTCAAGGAATAAGGGCTACAGCAACCCAAGAATAAACATATAAACCAGACACAAATGGAAGACCAGACTTGCAGCTAGAATAAGCTGGAAGTTTGAAGAGATCTCAAACATTAAGCTTTGGAATAGCCTTTCGGTAGCTGTAAAGGACACACCACCTAAATACCTTAAGAGATCCTGATAATTTAGAAGCAGCATAACCCAACTAGTCATGAAAAAGAACAAGCTCTGACAACTTGGTAAAGTTTCAATCCTATCAGAAGGACTAAGGTTCCCTGAAGTACAACAGCAACAAGGAAATCATGAGGTTTAACAAACATCTGTATGTTTGTTCATGTCATGAGCAAGTTTACATATTGTAAAATAAAAAAACAGAGAACACCTACAACTGCAATTAGTGAGCCTCCTGTATTCACCTTATTGAGAGACCAGGTCATCTTCACTATATAAAATCAAGTACCTACCTTAAGACAGCTTATCTAAATCCTTGCAGATGTGTACTAATTTCTTGAACTAATTTGGCTATAACAAACACTTCATATGTCAGCCTCTGGAGCATGTTTGAACTTGATGTTTTTTCCTCAGGGACTGTCCCTCATTCTCTCGGCTTCCTCTGACTCACCTCTTTATCCCATTTGAAAGGAAAAAAAGACTCAAGGCTTGAATGCCTATACAGTACCCTGCTAACCTGCTCAACATCTTTAAAAGCTGGGATCTCTTCAGAAAACACTGAATGCACCCTTCTGTAGTGGGGCTGGCACTCCAGTGTTACCCAGGATCCCTCTGGAGGTCAAGCCTTATCCATGCCTCAAAAGGAAAGTTCGCTCCTTTATCTGAATTTGCCCGAAATACAGTAACTGCTCTCCACTACCTGGTGAGACATTCCACAACACGTTACACTGCACAGAAAATCAGAGCCTTCAAAATGGAGCAATAGATGCAGTGCAGACATGGGGCATTACCTTTGCTCGCTTTAGCAAAAGCCTTTAACATTTTTATTGGATCATATGCTCAGTTTTGGTTGGGGTTGTGTTTTTTTTTTTGGTTGGGGTTGGTTTTATTTTAAAGCACCCAGTTCATTCTCTAATCTAGCAGAAATACCCACCAAATCCAAACATTTTGCTCAAATATAAGAAGCTGAATAACGACAGCATGTTATTAAATACCATCAGCACATAAACCATGGAAGTACCAACCATATTTATAGCTACTCAGTAGCCATCCGACTAAAAGTTTAAGTGAAACACAGTTTAAAATAGTTCTCAGGCCTCACCATAAGCGAAACTTGCAGCTCAATGGATCAAACCTGTCCAGGCAAGCGTTGGACTGATTCAGTAACAGCTTCTATTACAAATACCCACACTATCACAACTGATAAACAGCTGACCACCAAAACAAGGAACTGCTCAGGGACTGGTATTTCTCTGGGTTTTTTTCTTGTTGTTAGGGGTTTTTTTAGGCTGGTTTTTTGTTTTTTTTAATCAGGATGGCCAAAAGTGGAGTCCGACAACTGGAAGATTAGCTGTTGCCCTGGATGCGGTCCAAGGCACCACAGAAATTCTGAAAGTGGAGAGTCAGAAACTTTTCTGTAATTGGAAGCTTCATTTCCCTAACAGTTTTCTCCCTTCAGGGCACTTCAGGACAGCATGCTGGACTGTTTACAGTTTTGGAAAGAGCAGTACACAGCCCAACCCCAAGCCTTCTACTCGCTCTGCGCCAGCTGTCCTCGAAGCAGTCTTAAGAATGCCCAGCCTCAGAGCAATATTAGCTCACTTGTAATTGCCACTTTTACAGATGCTGGACCTCTAGAAAACCAAAGTGAAGCAGCAAACTGGTAACACTTCATCGTGGTACAGGACCCCATGAAAACACTGACAAAAAGGCAGGGAGAGAAGAGGAATGAGAAGCAGCACATTCAAATTGCCATATAGAAAGGATATAAAGATATTTTATACACTATGCAGTGGTTTACCAGCCCAATCAGAAACTTTAGCACTTTACAGAGATGATGGTCCCATCTCTTAGCATGCCCCACCCTCCTCAACATCTTTCGTGCTATTCGTTTTGTGGAGATTCCGGTACCACCGTTCTGAGAGCACAGATGGCTTTGATACAAATAATAATACTGGAGTACTACTTCATGTCATTCAGTTCTCTGCTGGGGAAAAAAAGTTATATCATGTAGCCTTCAGCTCTCCGACTACAAATCTATTACCACTCCAAAGGACTTCTTGGTTGCATGCTGAGCCTAACACTAAAAGCCTTTCCTGACATGTGCGTACAGAAACGGTGTAAACAGCTCTACCAGTGTTTAAAAAGAAAAGAAAGAAATCTGCAATCAGTAAATGCTATTTATAATGGGAGTTCTATCCAAAAGATACGAATGTCCAAATAATTTCAGACAATTTTGCTGCCCAAAGAGGTCTCAAGTGACTGATAAAGAAAGAGGCAATGTTAAGTTAAACATACAAGCTGTCTCTGGCTTTGCAGTCTGGGATCCACAAAGAGAATGCGTGTATAAGCTTCCTTAGAAAAGACCACAGAAGAGAAGAGCATGTGCTGGTATTTTCTGTCTCAAAGTCCCTTTGTCAAGTTTTAAGGCTTCCAGAATGCATTGACTGTAAAATTTATATGATCCACAAAGGTTATGGGCCAGTGCAAGCTTTGTATTAAAAAAACACAGCTGGGAAAAAACAAACGAACAAAAAAAACCACAACAAAACTGTTGTGAACAATGAGGCATGCCAGTGACCTGCAAAAACACAAGCAAACTGATATCTAGAAAACAAGAGAAACAGATTATTAGTACTCTGAACTATCCCAGCTCTGGCCATGGGCCTACCTGCCTTGTAAGCAAGTAACTTCTGTTTTCAAAACGTCTGTTCTTCAGCAAAGTGTCCAGCACTAACAATAAAGCATGCCATTTCATTTATTCCAAATTAAACTGCAGCATCTGAGGCTTTGAATATCAGCAAGATATTAAAGAGTTCAAGAGTATTTTTTATTGTCTTTAATAAATTTTAGTAATTTAAGAAATACTATTAATAATTTAGCATTCCCACTATTGTACATGTGGGTGAGTTCTCCAAGAATGATCAGAAGATCATCAGAGGGG